CTCGACGCATGGCGCGCGTGCTCTGTGACCCGGGTTTGCAGGTAAGTGTTGTTACAGATAAATTAGCTAATTCTTTATCTCTTCGTAGACGTAAATGCGATATTCCTGTCCAAGGAATTTGTGCCCATTCTTCCGCTCGCGCTCGTGGTAGCGTCTCGCTCACATTAGAATCTGCCCATACTAGTTTTACGCTGAAGATAACTGCGCTTGTCATTCCGTCAATTACAACAGTCATCCCCGCAACGTACATTGACATGACACAGTGGCAGCACTTGTCCAGCATTCAATTAGCGGATGCACAATTCGGCATTCCCGGTAATATCGACGTGCTAGTTGGTGCTGACCTATGTCAAGTTGTCGAAACTGAATTTAAATTTGGCGGTCCTTGTGAGCCGCACGCTCAACGCACTGCTTTTGGGTGGGTCATATTTGGCCCGATTTCTGCAGCACAACCTTCAACGTTGCCAACTCTCGCATTAAGTATGCAGCTATGCGACGAGGACGTACTCTTGGAGGAACTACTCCGAAGTTTTTGGAAGTTTGAGGAAGTGCCCTCCCTAGAATATGATGGGGATGACGAATGCGAACGAATTTTTTGTAACACCCACTCTCGTACACCTGACGGACGCTACGTTGCGTGCATTCCATTTCGTCCTGATGCGCCGACTTTGGGAGACTCTTATACTCATGCATTACTACAGGTTTACCTTCTTGAGCGGCGACTGGCAGCAAATAGTGAACTCCGGGAGAAATACATTGTTTTTATGCGCGAATATGCAGACCTGGGCCATATGGAGCGCGCAAACCAATTGAACGTTAATGAAGCGGGCTTTTATATACCGCATCATGCAGTTATGTGGAAGTTTCGCGTTGTGTTCAATGCCTCAGCGAGAACTACAACCGGCGTCTCCCTGAACGAAGTTCAGTTGGTAGGAACCACAATACAAGAGCCGCTACTTAACATAATATATCGCTTTCGCCGCTTTCGCATCGCATTGTCTGCCGATGTTGAGAAGATGTTTCGACAGGTACTTGTTAAACCCTAGCATAGAGATTTTCATCACAATATTAGGAGGGAGTCCCCAACCGACGACATCACTATATACCGCCTTACAACGGTGACTTATGGTACGGCTGCAGTCCCTACAACGCGGTCCGCGCAATCAACCAATGCGCATACGACAACTACAAGGTGGTCGCTGATAGTCAATAAATCGATAGCGGCACGCGATGCGATCTTGTCGTCTTTTTATGTCGACGATTTTCCTACCAGCTGTGATACCGAAGAAAATGCAACTGAACTTGCAGCCAACGTGACTTCGCTATTGTCTGAAGGCCACTTCCGTTTACGTAAATGGAACTCCAGTAGTGGTGAAATATTAGCACGCTTGATTGGCAACCGTTCTTCTAACGTAGAGATGACCATCGAATCACCAACAGCAACTGTACTTGGGCTTCGATGGGATGCAGCAGGTGATGAGCTATTTTTCAAGGTAGATCTGAAAGAGAACATAGGCTTTCTAACGAAGCGACGGGTACTAAGTGACGTCGCAAAACTATTCGACCCTACCGGCATACTGGCACTAGTTGTTACTGGAAAAATATTCATACAAAGGTTGTGGGCTGCTGGCTTGTCGTGGGACGAACCACTTCCAGATGAACTTCAAACCATCTGGGTAGCTTTTTACAGCGAGCTCGACGTAATAAACAAAATCCGGATTCCGCGATGGTTAGGTATGGCTGAAGGAAGAGCTACTATCCTGCTAGGAATTTGCGATGCCAGTACGGTCGCGTATGCAGCTGTAATATATATTAAAGCCACAGATGCGGAAGGTCATTCAGCCGTATCACTGCTTACGGCTCGTACCAAGGTGGCCTCCTTTAAAGGAGAAACGATCCCGCGTCTGGAGCTTTGTGCCGCACTTCTGCTCGCTGTTACCCTCGAAAACGTACGTATTGCCTTGAGATTAACAGATACTCCTTGTTACCTCTGGTCTGATTCTCGGATTGTGTTGTGTTGGCTACGCAAGCCGCCCACTACTCTTAAGCAGTTTGTGTCGAACCGGGTGCGTCAAACACATGAGTGACCATACTTATTTTATTATGTAGCTCATTTTAAAGGGGAGGGGGTTGAGTATTGTAAGAAATTAACTTGTGTCAAAACCAAGCTAATTGGACAATGTGTTTGAGTACTACCTAAACA